AGGCTTCCCGCCCGCCGGGGCGGCGGCCCTGCGGGAGGGCAGGAGGGAGAAGGCCTGGCCGAGCCCTTGAAGTCGTGATAAGTTTGTGGACGAGGCACCTGGGAGGCTGGATCTCCACAGGAGCTGCGGGGACCGGGGGGCTGTCAGCCGCGGGGAGCTGAGGGGGGTTTTAGGGCGAGAAATGTAGCTGGGAAGGGAGAGGTCTCCAGAAGGGCAGGCCCTCTGCAGGGTCAGGGCCTGAGTGGTACAGCTAGGATGTTAAAGCATCAGTCCTTTATTATCCTATTAAGGATTTTGATGTGGCTTTTTTAAAGCCTTCCTGCGCGCCTCGCTGTGATAAAACTGCTTCACACAGGCACCCTGCAGCCCTGTGTTCTTCCAGATGCTGGCTTTGCAGGAAGGTTCAGTAACGGCGCTTTTCTTTCAACCTTGCCTCATGGAACTAACTGTGAGGTGGTGGGAGTTTTTCCTCTCCCGCCCTCTAACTGATCATGAAGAATATTCAGGGGACTTAAACAATAAATATAATTAGTAGTGAGCCACTCATAAAATTTAGCAAGACTGGACAGTGCTTTAATACAGAGGAGGAAATACTCTGTTGAGAAGTTGCAAAGAACAGCTCTAGTTTTCAGTACAGTCCACATCTTGCTACTGGATTTTCTTGGGAGTCAGTTTGTGTTTTCTGATCTCCACAGTTAATACAAAAACATGAGATCCCAAAAATCTCTGCCTCCATCTCTCACACACCTCCATATTACACTTTATATACATGTCACATAAGAAGAGTTCAGATGCAAGTTCCCTGAGACATTTTTCAGAGGATGTGGGCCTTCAGTTAAACCTACTGATTGATGAGTTCTGCTGTAAGGTGACCACAAAAGGCACCAAGAAATACCACAACTCCTCACGTGCAGAGCAGACAGGAAAAACTAAAGTCATTTCAGAGTGCACAGCACCACACACTGTATATGGTGCCTTTGTGTAGTAATGCAAAGCTTCTACAAGTCAAGCTTCAAGCAGGTGGGTGCCAATGCAGTGCAGTAATAGGTAGAGGCCCATTTCTGTTTCAAAATAGAGACAAGCACGGGGCCAGTGCTTTGTATCTGGGCCCACTAACTCATGTGCAAGACAAAACTGTTGTGGCTACATTACTTTTTATTCCAGGGCTATTTTGATCAGTGGTAGCTTGAACATGTCCATGCCTTGCTGCATGGCAGAGCATGGACGTAACAAGGTAAGTGATGTGCAGAGTCTCCCCATACTCAGATACTTCTGAGCCACTGCAAAAAGAAACTTGGCAGGAACTCTGGAGTGCAGAGTTGCAGGAAGTGCAGTGGCAGTTGCTGAGGTAAGCAGAATGCAAGCAGTGGGCAAAACAAGACAGCCAAA